ATGAGGGAGATCAACTCCATTTAGATTATTTTAACATTCCTGTTGAATGCGGCAATATTCTGGGTTATGTACTAACTCCTCTTCAATAAGCTACAGTATATTCTTACTACAGAAAATCTACCAACAAGTATACAAAATAGGTTTCAATTACAGATGAAATCAGACTTCTCAGTGGTAAATGAACAAAGAAATGATCAAGGACATATAAGTCAACTCTTGGCTCTCCCCATGGTTCCAGTTTTGGTTCGACCTTGGAAATGACAGCTGAATCCTGACCTTCACTAGCCCTTTTATCTATCCTCTTTGCTTCTTAACTCTAAGTTCCAACGTAATGAGAGCTTTGTCTAAGGGTAACTCATTAGAATTCATTCCACAGCCAATTCTCCACTTTGTTAAATTCCTGGTATGGAACTTGAGAGAAACCTGGGTTCCATCTTAACCCTAACTCTTACATGCTGTGTGGCTCTGCGCAGGTTATTTACCCTCTCTGGGTTTGTATAATAATGGGGTTGGATTAAATAGTTAATTATGGTAACTTCTAGCACTAAATCTCCGTGATTCAATCAAATTTTCATTCGTTACTGGAATCAAACATATTGTCAAGTAGTCTACATTACCTACATCCTCCAGCCCTTTGCAACTAGCACAGGCAATCTTGCCTTAAAGACAACTTCCCACAGGGCTCAGAAGCACTCATTATCCATGTGTTCACCATCCCACACCATAGAATACAAAATGTATCTGCCTTAAAGATGCCTAATATCAACTCCTGGCTGCTTTAGAGCCTTGTCTTACTAATATCCAGGACTGTGATTCTCTTCAGACTTCAGAACTGTAATCGAAGCAATAGCTGAGAACTCTTTCTTTGCATTAAATCAACTCAATTTAACAAACATGTATTGAAAGGTTACAGTGAGCAAGGTGCTATAGAGTAAACGAAGATGAATAAGAGCTTATAACCTAGTAAAACACAAGGAGACAAATGAAAGGAATAAGAGAAGACCAAACAAAATGCTATGAGAAATTAAAAGGAAGAATAGTTGTCTGAATTTACAGAGAAAGGGGAAAAAAGTCACAGAAGCTGTGCCATAAAGGAAACCTTATTGAGGTATAATTTATATATTATAAAATATACCCATGTAAAAAACACAGTATGATGCAAACTGACAAATGTATACACCTGTGTAACCACCACAGGTATCAAATGTAGAACATTTCCATTATCTCAAAATGTCACCTTGTGCATGTTTGCAGTCAACCCCCCACTCCAGGCAACCACTGATTTGCTTTCTGCCATGATAGATTCGTTTTGCCTATTGTAGGACCACATATAAATAGAACCATATATTATATACTACTTTCATCTGACTTCTTTTACTTTGAATATTTGTGAGATTCATCCATGTTGCTGGGTAGTAGTAGTTTGTTCCTAATGTCGAGCAGTTCCTAATGGGTAGTAGTAGTTTGTTTCTAATGCTGAGCAGTATTCTACTGTATGGATATAATAATTTAACTCTTCATCTCTTGATGAACATTTAGGTTGTTTCCAGGTTGGGGCAATTATAAATAAAGCAGCAACACACATTCTAGCAAGTCTTCCTTTTAAAAAATTTCCCTTTGGAAAACACCTAGGAATAGAATGATCAAAGGTGTTAGGTGTGTATTTACCGTTATATGAAACTGGCAAATTTTCCCAAAGTGGTTGTGCCACTGTATATTCCCGTCAGCAATGTATGAGAGTTCTAGTAGCTTCATTATCTCACCAACACTTGGAATTGTCAGGTTTTTAAACTTTAGTCTTAGAATGGGTGTGAAGTAGTATTGCATTAGGATTTTAATGGCATCACTCTAATGATCAATGATGTTGAGTATTTTTTCATGTTAATTTGCCATTCATATATTTTCTTTCAAAACTTCAAATTTCTGGCCTTTTTTAAAATTGGGTTAGTCATCTCTTTTTTGGGGTAGGGGGTATCTGTCTTCTTTATATTGAATCACAGGAGTTCTTTATATATTCTAGATAAAAGTCTTTAATCAGACATGAGATTTGCAAGTATTTTCTCCCAATGTGGCTTGCTTTTTCATTTATTTTAAACCGTGTTATTAGGGGAAAAAGTTTTAATAAACTTGACTTTTCCCTTTATAATTAAGGTTTTCTGTGCCCAAAGAAATCTGCCTATGCAAGGTTACAAGTATTGTGTTTTTACTAAAATTCTATAATTTTAGCTTTTTATGTTTCGTTATTACCCATTTTCCTTCCATATGAATATCCAGTTGTTCCAGCATCATTTGTAAGAAAGATTATACCATATTACAGTTTTTATTACTAAAGCTTTTTAAAAAAAGATCTTGAAATCATGTAGAGTAAGTCTTCCAACCATTTTGTTATTTTTCAAGATTGCTTTGGCTATTCTAGACCCTTTTGATTTCTGTAGAAATTTTAGAATAAAAAACATCAATTTCTACAAAAAATCCTGTTGGGATTTTGATTGATACTGTGCTACATCTACTGATCAGCTTGGGAATATATTTTAACAGTATCATATCTTCTGCTCATTTATTTTGGTCTTTTTAAATTTTTCTAAGCAATGTTTTACAGTTTTTGGCAAACAGGTCTTGCATATATATTTATTAAACGTATCCTTGAGAATTTCATGTTTCTTTGTTATTGCAAGTGGCTTTCTTAAATTCCATTTTTCAATTTTTGGTTACAAGTTTATAGAAATACAATCAATTTTTGTTTACTAACCTTGTATCCTGCAAATTTGCTAAATTCAATTTAGTTCTAGAAGCTTTTTGTAGATTCTTTCCAATTTTCTACATATACTATCACATCGCTTGTGAATCAAGACAGTTTTATCACCTCCTTTTCATCTGTATGTCTTTTATTTCTTTTTTCTTATCTCACTGCATTATATAAGATCTCCAGTATGATACTCAATATAAGTGGTGACAGCAGATAATCTTTGCTTTATTCCCAATCTTAAGGGGAAAAAAAATTCAGGCTTTCACAGTTAAGTATACTATTTACTGTAGATTTTTGACAACAGGTTGAGGAAATTCTTTCTATTCTTAGTTTTCTAAGAGTTTTTAATATAAATGTTGAATTTCATCAAATGCCTTTTCTGCATCAACTGAGATGGCCTTAAGGTTTTTCCTCTCACTTTCTGTTACTATGTTAAATTACAGTGATTCATTTTCAAATGTTAAACTAGCTTTGTATTCTGGGATGGACCCCACTTGGTTACGATGTATTAT